ACTTTGATCCGCAAATTTGCCCTGGCTGTTGCATTACTTGTGCGAACGGAGCACCCCCCCACCCCCCCCCCGGCGATTTAGAGACAACATTTACTTCGGTCACCATCTTGTACGCTAGGAAACGCGACCACAACCTAAAATATCGCAACTACAGGGGATGCGCGTCATAATATTTTCATCATTGGACAGCAGTGCGTCGAACGCCACCAAACACCAACGTAGCATGCGATTCACAACCAACCCATCTCAAGTGAAAAACTTCTTAGCAGGACTGCTGTCTGTAACTTGCGCCCCAAGAGAGGTAGCATACAACTACGATAGTTTTTGGGTAAGGTCAATCAATACGACGAGGTTTTTCTCCCATAACAAAATAAAAAATGCCGACAACAACAACAGCGGTGTGCGGGTGAAATGTTAAAAATAGTCTATGCATTTGTAGTGATCTACTTGAAGTATTTTCTTATCACCGCCGACAACAACGTCGGTGGCGAACGAACCTCCTACTACGCCCTTTGATGATGCGTGGTGGGTCAACACCACTTGTGGAAAGATACTCTTGGGGAAACTGCACGCAAGAGTGCGGGGTAGAGCGGTTTGGCTCCCTGCGTCAAGGACGACACCGACCGTGCTGAAATATTCCCATTTTCATTTCATTTTGTAGTTGCAGTGCAACTGAAACAACTGATGTTTGGTTTTACTGGTGTAGCGCCGTAGACAGATCGATGACAGACAGCAAGAAAGCAGTAAAACTGACTACTCACATTGGGCAACACTCCACCAAGAAGATGGACAGGTAGCGACTCTCGTCCAACCCACCCAGTCCCGTTCCACACGAGACTTGGGTCGCCGGCCCAGGCAAGGCCGTTGCCGAAGCAAAAGTCGTGGTCGACGATGCTGGCGATGGCGACGCCGGCGGCGCCGATTTTGTTCTCGATGAAACCTTCTTGCCACCCTCACCGCCGTCTCTAGATCGTTTCCGCACAATCGCTTTGACAGAGTAGACGCACTCAACTCCCGTCCGTTTACAACGCTGGCACGGCGTATCCCCTGGAGAAGTAAGTGTGCAGGCCGCGTATACCCAGCGCGGCCGGAGAAGAGAGCACAAGACAGACGCGTCTTGAAGCAAATCAATCTGTCGGGTGATGCGTGATTGGTTGTTTCATGTTCTGGTGATGATGTGTGTGGGTGAGATGACCAACAAAAATGACCACGGCAACCTCATTTCGACTCTCTCGAGCAGATAGTAGGCAGTACAGCAGGCAAAACCACAAGCTAGTGACCCTGCCAGTACACACAAACGTCTCCTCCGTTCGCTTTTTAACCTAGACTCCTCTCTCACCTACGTGTATTCTCCTATCACAACTCGCTACGCAGCAAAATGCGAAGAGCGAGAGACGAGAGAGAGAGAGAGAGCGAGCTCTCAGCCCACCTACCTGTACACTGTCGCTTCTTTTTCGCGCACGAATCGCACGCCTGCCTGGTCAACCTACTCCTTTTGCGGGGCTCCCCGTCGTTGTTCGGCTTCATCAGGAGGACACCCGTGGGGGTAGGTACAGGCCAGGCGCGCTCCGTGGGCGCGCGGGGGGGCGTGAGCGCGTAATGATGAGCGTTTTCGACACAAGACACCCCAAACAAACAAGCACAGGACGATGACACACAACGGATATTATGCGACCAGACCAGAGGCGGCGCAACAAAAAAAACTAATACACGGCGCAACTTGCTGTGTATAACCAAGATGGAATGCCGAATATTTGCCTGGTGGAAATTGGGAGCGAAAGGACCCCCCGGAAATATTCCTGCTCATTGCTCGCGTGCTCTGTTTTGGGGGCTGCCGCCGGGCGCCCCCCCCCCCCCCTGAGACATCGACGACCGACAACACACACACATGCCCCACGCCACGCCTACCGAGATACGCGAAGAAGAGAGTAGAGCTCAGCAGGTGCGAGCGCACTGCGGATGGATCAGCAAAACTTTGGCCGAGCGGGCCTGGGTGGTGTGCATTTACCCGTGCGACGTGTGTGTTCCAAGATATAATCTGCTGTGAAGGTCTACAGAGAGTGTAGACTACCTTTGGACTTCTACATGCTGCGGAGCGGTGCTGCAGGGCAAAAACGAAAGCCAGAAACTGTATCTTATTCACGGGGAAGATTCTGAGCGTGATCTGTTAGGGTCGCGGAGTACAGGAAGAAAGTAATAATGTGTCTTTCGTCTGCACTACAGGAAGCAGTGCGTAGCGATGACCACAGCTGTACTACACCAGTATGTACATGTATATATATGCATAGAGAGCGACCACACGGACACTTGGCGACTAAAGGGACACACACACACACGGGGAATCGGATTTTACATGTTTGTATGCATATGCAAATGCGTACCACTTTCATGGCGCACTAACGGAATGACTAAATGACTAAATAGCTAGGTGGTCGATCTCCAGCGCGCATTGCATGGATATTACATGAACCGACGATTTCCCTCCATGGTGAACGGTGCACGCTACACCACAACACTGCCATTGAGGTCGAGTTGGGTAGGCCCACGCTATGGGCGCCATCACTCTGCATTCATTCGCTCACGGTACTCACTCCTACTCCTCCTAGAGACAGTATCCTCTTCGACCTATCTACGATTAGACTACAAGACTTTATTCACACACGATGAGGGTAGTAACATTGTCATGGAGCGCACGTAGGAGTTAGAGCGGTCGAGCCATCACCATGGCAGTTTTAGTCTACCCATAACCCTGCAATAATGGTATGTACGTACTGCCCATCCGAGTGCGCCCTCCCGGAGCGAGACACGATCAACCAACACTAAAGCTCGTTAATTAATCACGCCTGCGTTTTTGTGTGTCGCTTCATATTTTCCATGGCCAAACCTCGATACGCTGCAAGTCGGCGTGCCACAACTGCATGCTACAGCAGTAGCTTAAAAATTGGCAGCAAACAACTCTGCTGTCAACGGGGCGAAAAAGTGGGTATCACACCAGTCAGTGCTTCCTGGATACACACCCATACAATACCATTCATCGGGTAAAACGTGTACACAGGCAGCCCAGTTGAGCCACGCATGTTCAAGAAACTCGAAAGAAAAACGACGAGTGTGGTATGCATATGTACCATCCACTTCCTCGCCGTCCACTCCCGTTCCCACACTCAAAACTAACAAACTGCGTCTCGTACCCACAACCTATCGTCTCCGACTCGGTCGGTCAGTCGGTCGAGTAAAAAGTAGACAAAAAATGGGCCGACATATCTCCAGCACGCAGAGCGATCACGCAAAAAAGCGTTGACTCCCTTTCGCGAGGAAAAAGGGTATTGGACTTGGTAATAATCACAACCATTTATTTCTGTTGCACGTGCTCTGTCGCTGTCTAGTCTGTCTTTCTCCAACCCAACGATTCCGTCAAGACAAGAGGGGCACCATTCGAAACAATACCGCACCTGTTCCGTCGCATCACACGGAAAAAAAACAAAATAAGAAAAACAAAACAATGACACACCCTTAACTAACCCAGGACAGACAGACAGACAGACGCCAACAAAAAAAACTCGAACTACTGCTACTGCTTCAAGCAACTTAAACACTCAAGAGCTTTCTTTCGAGCCAACCGACGCCGCCAGCTCCTCCCCCTCCCCCTCCTCCCCGTTCACGATGCCCCCGTCCAGGTCGTCCTCTCCGTCCTTGTCGGCGTCGTGCGTGGGGTCGTTCTTGGGGTACACCACGTCTCCGGACGCAACCGCGGCCTCGAGCGCGGCCGCCGCCGCCCGCGCCGCCTCCGAGCTCTCCGGCTCGGGCTCGACGGCCGCTGCCGCTGCTGCTACCGTTGCCTGCGCCTCGGCGGCGGCGGCTGAGCCGTCCGCGGCGACGTCCTCATCGCTGTCCGACGAGCCGTCCAAACCGGGGAGGTCGGTCGCGGCCGTCGGCTGCATATTTCGCGTGGTGCGGGGGCAGAGGTAAGAACAAACTGTGAGCAACGGGGGCTGCTTCTACACCCCGAGACCGTCTTTCAAAGCTCGATTGCTCCACAACCAACTCTGGGTGAGGAAATATTCCCGACAAGTCTAAAGAATGCCCTCGATGAGATGTTTCCAAGACCACCATTATTGGTGTTGGTGCAAGCGTGGTTGTGGAGCAATCGAGCTTCGAAAATCCGCCTGGGAGGGGGGGGGGGGGGGGGGTGTACTCATAGTCGTGCATGCCGTAGTCATTAGACCATTGACCTCGCATCCCTACAAAGCCGGGACGGAGCACGCCGGGTTCTCACCGGACCAGGCTCTCACATCACCAAGCGCGAAGCGCCGTGAGGTATTCGGCGAGCCGCATGAAGGGTGAGCTGCATCCTGCTAAGGGTGTTCGGCATCTTGTGCTTACTTCCTTGCGTACGGATGACAGCTACGTATGACTTAATTTATTTTCTGGTGCTTTCACTTCCAGAGACAGTTGTAAGCACTGTGTAACTGCGTCGAGGAAGCTTGACCATTTTAACACAACGTGGTGCGATCATCCCCCTTGCGCGGAGTGAGAGTTCTCGACCCCGCACAACATGATCTACTCGACCACCATTATGGTTACCGCCAAAAAAAAAAACGAGGAAAAAAAAAAAACGGTAACCTGGTTGCCGAGTTCACGAAGTGAATTGGCTTCTTTTACAACGTCGTTGCCAAGCGACGAAAACCCAATCCCGATGGCAAACAACGAGGGGGGGGCTTGTTTTACAACGTCGTTGCCAAGCGACGAAAACCCAACCCCGATGGCAAACACCGGGGGGGGCGGCTTGTTTTACAACGTCGTTGCAAAGCGACGAAAACCCAAACCCCGTGAGGGGGGGGACGGGGGACGGGGGACGGGGGGGTGCCATCTCTCCGCATCTTGCGGTAAGCTGACTAGCTTGCGTGGAAACTGGCTGACCAGTGGCACGTTGGAGGCGGCCGCGGCGGCTTCTCAAGATTGGACCACGTTACTGGGCGAAGCAAGCGCAAGGGTACCAGCGTCGATGTTGACGCATGGATCCATACGCAAGGCTAAATAAAGCCACGAAAGTACGAGCCCTGAAAATGAAGCTAGCTACGTACGTCCTATGATATAAATCTTTGCTCACCTTTGCCGCTGCCGACGCCACTGCCACCGCTGCCACTGCTGCCGCCGCCTCCGCTGCCTTCTCCGTCTTCGTCGCGGCTGCCGCAGAGCCCTTTCCGGCGTCCCGCGCGTCGTCGGTTTCGACGGTGTCGGCGTCGACGGCGCCGCCGGCGTCCTTCAAGATGGGGTTCTCCGTGTAGGTCTCGACCATGGACTTCTGGATGCCCAGCTGCTCGAACAGGTTGTCGTCCTCCTCGTTCTCCAGACCTGCAAAAAGTAGGCACGTATGGGTAAATCAATGGGAAAATCAAACGAGCACCACGTTGACACCAGCGAGTGTGTAACTCTCTCTCTCTCACGCTCTCTCTTCCTCTCTCCCTCTTTCACACACCCACCTACCCACATGACGCACATACGGCCTGCGGTTCGTCCTGGCATCGGGGGTACACCCATGCTGCCCGTGTACACCCATGCAGGCAAAAAAACAAACAAACACACACACACACACAGCGGCACCACGCTACGGTAGCACAGATGTTAACACGTGCCAGACCGACCGACTGCCGCCGACAAAACAACACCAAACTTCGCTACAGTAGCTCTCTCTCGCCCTCACCCTTTTCCAGCACAAACTTCTTCCGGGTGTCCTCGAGCAGGACGTTCACCTCGTCCGCCGTGCACCCCAGGCTCCGGAGAACCGCGCCGCCGAATGGGAGGCTGACGATGATAGAGTCCTCGGGGAGGGTCGGCACCATGGCCACGACGTCCGTGATGGAGGCGAGGTTCTTCTGGTGCCTGGCGTCCTGGGCGCGAGCGAAAATCTGCGCTCGTATCGTCGCATTATTTTCGCGCCATTTCGATTTATTTTTTCAAGATGGCGGGGGGCGGAAGCGACGACAGCGGCGGTGGGGGCAGGGTTGTTTCGGTCGGCGTAGCCTCTTGAACCCACGCACCGTTGCCGTATCTCAGCACGTTGATCCGGAGTCGGGCATACCGCGGAGAACGGCCGACTCCTGTCACCTCCCCCCTCCCCCGGCCCACCTATTTGTCCCTGACGAACCCTCCTACCATTCAGACAACCGGACGCTCGAAACGCTGATAACCCTCCTTCCGTTCAGACTGCCTGACACAGCTCTGTCAGCTACCTTATCCTTATCCTAGCACCACTTCTCACCGGCAGGTCGGGGAACTCCCTTCGAAGGTTGACGACGGCCGTGGTCGTGCCCTTCACCTCGGAGAGGGTGCAGATCACGGCCTTGGCCTTGCCCACGTTGAACGCGTTCAGCACCTCCGGCCGCATGACGTCGCCATAGAAAACCGGCAGACCGCTGTGGGAGACAATAAAGACATGTAGTTATAAAAAAAAGAAAACCCAAAACATGGCACAGCAGTCGGGTCTATAGGACGGGTACGTATGTCCCAAGGCCATTTCACCCGCCCTGCTGGGCACTCGCCCCACGTTCAAAGGAGAATAAAACAACTGACTATTTTCTCTGTGTCCAAGAGGTTCATCCACCCTACAAAACAACCCCGACTTTATGAACACAGTAGTCCCAACACAGCACCAAAAAATGAGCCGATTCAGTCGCAGGCCGCCATATCTACAACTCCCGTCGGAGGTCGCTGCCCAACCTGCTCTAAACCTCCGTCCGACGGTAGAGGTTTGGATTGGATCCATATTGTGCATAAATTCATACTCCCAGCATACAGCAGCACCGAGGTCGAAAGTGTTCGACCAATATGCTGTGGCATCTGCTTCAGGGTGTGTGATTTCGTGCAAAGAGCGTCGCCAGTGCAAGCAAAGAGACAGCAGACAACGGATGTTGCGGCAGCAGCGGCAGCAAAATCAGGAGAATCGAGAACAACGCCCAACCGGCAACCAAGACTAAGCCCTTACTCTACACCCAAAAAAGTTGCACCCCCATGCACTAAACACAGAAGCAGCCCCGGCCCCTGTTTCACGCCTCCTGACAGCAAAACCCCTCGACAAAGCAACAACGACCGCCGTAGGGGTGCAGTGTGGCGAGCCACGGGGGGCGGGGGGGGGGGAGGGCGCTCTCTCACCGATTTCGGGCCTCCATGGCCTTGAGCGGGTTGTTGTCGAACGCCACGAAGTTGATGAACTTCTTGCCCAGCAGCTCGCACACCAGGCGCCCGATGCGGCCGTAGCCGCACACCACGACAAAGCCGTCCCCCTGTCTGATCTCGTCGGACTCGGAGTCGCCGCCCAGGTAGTGGTCGTACCCCATGCGCGCCTCCATCTGTTGGGGGTGTGCATGCGTGCGTGTTCGTGTGTGTTAGAATCGACCCGGCGCTAACCGGCTGACCAATGAAAATGCGTCAGTCTCAGCGCGGGTGCAAACAGAAAATGCTTCTAAAGGCCATGATCTGGGACCCCGTGAGGGGGCGTCATGGGGGTGGCTAAACTTCTCTCCGAACTAAAGACAGAAACCTGTGTGTTGCGTGCGCGTGCAAGTGAGAAAGCGGGGTTGGCCAGCGGGCCGGGCTGGAAGCGTCGGCGGTGGGGGACAGGCATCGACATTATTCATTGTTGCTGTACAAAGGTCATAGTGTGTAACGAAGCCTCAAGACCCCCCCCCCCTCGTTTCCTTTCGTCACAAAAAAGCTGAGATGAGCGCCTTCAGAGTGTCGGTCGAACCAAAAGGGTAAGCCGCCGGGCATCCACCCCCAGAGGAAGCCGCTTCTTTCGAAGAGAGAGAGAGAGAGAGAGAGCGGCTTGAAGAGCAGCTTTCACACAACCCATGTGTTCGTGTTCGTATCACAACGTCGACTCCATTCTGGCAAAAGAAAACATATCATCGTCACCGGTGAAAACATCTCAACGCTTCACAACAGCAACACCATACATGGGCACTGCACAGACACACGAATATTGTCTCTGCGGCGGTCGTCCCCTCCTGCTTTCCTAGACGCTCAAAAGTCTCACAACAGCAAACACATCGGTGTCGCAATCTAAATCTACGCAACGCCAAAAAGGCGCACCTGGTCGGCGACCCAGGCGGAGAAGTTAGAAAGCGCCGGCGTGGCCGCCATGCTGATGGCCACGGTCGTCAGCAGCAGCTTGCACAGCTGCGGCTCTATGATGCCCAGGCGCTCCGCCATCCCGAAGGCCACGAAAGCGAACTCCCCGCCCTGCTCGTCGACACCGGAGCATCGTGGGTGGTGGGTGTGGTGATTTCTTGGGCGGGTCAGTAGGGCACAGGGAACCACCACGCCCCGCCCAGGATATGAAGCAGAAGCACGATTATAAAACAGACAATCTCAACTTCTACGTTCCACGCAGGTGGTACTGCTGTAGGGAGGTCAAGGCATGAACGGCTGAGCGCCATCACTACTTGTGCCCGGCGAAGTGGTAGTAACGCCCCCTGTAACCACACGCGCGTGTGAGACACGGGGGACGCAGTATTTCCGAACGATGGGGTTCGTCGAGAGTTCTCTTGAGCGAGGTATCCGTCCGAGTTAATGGCATGGTGAGGCCGAAGCTATATAGCGTACACATGTCCAAAAAGTCGGCCGATACTGCCGTTGTTTCGCGGGAGAGAAACCCTTTTCCTCCCAGTCTACCTCCCTTCGCCCATGCTGAACATTTCCCCCGCTATTTCTTTAGGGGTCCCAACTCGGCGCGCGCACCCCCATTCGGGTTTTGATTTTCCGCAAGCGACAGACAGGCACTCTATCGTAAACAAAGGTGAAAGCGCTGCTCCCTCTTTTTCCAAACACGACCCGCAACGTACAGAACGCCACCCCGGCCCGGCCATTCCGCGCATCTAAATATTTAGTTTTAGTTTTCAAGCTGATGAAATATCGTCACACCTGGCTGAGAAGCAGCCCCGTCTGCTGCGCGTTCGCGACGGAGAGGCCGAAGGCCAAGGCGATCAAGGCGATGATCGCGGCCTTCATCGCCAGCAAGCCCGACACCTGTTTTCACAAGCGGAGGAAGAAGGGGGACGGGAGGGAGACCAGGAGGGAGACCGGGAGGAGCGGACAACCAAGGACACACGATTGGTGTAGGCAGGGTAGAGAAGATAAACACCAGTCAGTCGCAAGCGGTGGGGTCGGGAAAAGATAAGTTTTGGGGGGTAATTTAGGCGTATGTCTGTTGCCGCGCCGCGGAACCGTTGGAGCGCTGCTGCGGACAGACCTACTGCTTGGTATTTATTTAGTTTGCGTACAACATGCGCGAGGCGTGTACGTACGTGAGTCGAGCGCAGGATGGAAAAGACAACAACACCAAAAGCTGTTCCGCGCGGGAGGGACCGAAAACTTCGCCAAGGCCATGCCCGATGATTTCGGCCGAGCTTTTGTCCATAGTTGCACAATCCACTCGGTGGGTGTACGCGTACGCCCATGAGTTGGACGGCACCACCGACCGATCTCTTGCACAAGAGGGCGCACTGCTGCATGTGTCTTCTTCTCTGTGATCACGCCGGTGAGTGAGCAACGGATACATCCGAAACGAACCGAAACCACACATGAAAGCGCACTCGAGTCCAGCCCCCGAAAACAAGCAGCCCATGGACAACGCTGCCATGAACAACGCAAGAAGCACCACCAACGAGGACGACGACGACGAGGACGACGACGAAGACGAACACCAACCGCGGCTAGCAGCAGAAGCGACACAAAGCGTGGACACGAGTAACGGAAGAGCACTCACGAGGCTGGCGACCAAGGGCAGGTTGTTGAAGCAGAGAGCCAGGTCGATCTCGAAGCCGACCGTCATGAAAAACATTCCAAGCAGCAGCGCTCGGAACGGTGCGATGTCAGCCTCCACCTTGGGGACAAAAAGAAGAAAAAAAATGATGTGCAGCGTTGGCGGCGGCGGGGTGAGATAGGCTGATCATCAGACTTTTGTTCCCACGCCACGCAAAGCCGCGATCGTACCATGAAGCGTGACACTAGAGCTGGAGTGCTCAAGCACACCTCGGCTTCCCTACTCTAGCATTTCGAGCGATAGCAAGCACGCAGAGAGAGAGAGAGATGAATGTAGAGAGGCAGAGAAGAGAATTCAAAGCAGTGTGTGGGGCGCGTAGAAACTTAGGGTGACGACAATCAGCTCTCCCGCGAGAAGTCATAACCTACGCCAAACTCGAAGCTGCCGCTGAGCATGACCCCCGACACCATGGCAAATAACTGAACGCGTGTGTGTGCATTCTTTAGATGCTAACGGGGAGCACGCCCGCACGAGAGGACGCAAACCCAAACACGACCTAATGCGACCCCCAACCCACATTTTGGAGGCGTGTGTTCTGGGCGTCTGCGAGTCGCAGTATGTCTCGGGCGATGTATGTCATCGCAGGGGGGGGGGGGTGCGAGAGCGATGCATGGCTCACCTGCTTGCTCTCGACTCTCACACGAGTTCCCTACACGTAGTAGGAAACCTCCCTGCCAGCAGGGCGAGGGCGAAAGTATGCGAAACCGACGATAATCCCTCCTTTCTGTACAAAACCCGACATCGACCCTCGCCGGCGGCGTGCGTGCTAACAGCATGCTCGCGTGTGACGCTACAATTACATACCAGGACAAGCGAAGCATGCCACGAGACAACAAGAACAGAAAAAGCACACCAACGCCAACCAACCCCTCCTCCTCCATCCCGTCCTAACCTGAGGAGTGTACTTGGTGTCGGCAAGCAGGGTGCCGGCGAGGAACGCGCCGAGCGTGCCGCTCAGCCCCAGGCCTTCGGTGATGCTGGACAGAGCGATGACGGTGAGCAGGATCACCGCCAGGAAAGCCTCTTGAGACTTGCTCTTCGCCACCAGCAGGAAGAAGCGGCTCAGGATGTTCTTGCCTGCACAGCGAGGAGAGAGAAAGAGAGAGGGAGGAAAGGGGAAGGGTTCAGTCATTAGGCTTCACGTGCAGAGACGGGCGGCACAGGAACGATACGGACAAGAGCGCCATGGTGCACGGGAGAAAAGCGCAGGACAAGCCGAATCGGCGACGACGGTCGAAACAAATAATAAGCTGGTACAGGGGAAGATTAGACGAGAGCGCGCAACAGTAGTCGCAACGAAAAAAGCACTCCCTCAGGGACGAGTGGGATACGACCAGGGCGACGGTCTCAAGCACACACAAAAAATCGTACGTGTGGAGTCAAAGTGCATGGTGTTTACTGTCAGCAGCAGCAACAGCAGTGGTACACACTCCTCGCAGGACTTGCTCGTCATCGCCAGCAAGACTAAACAGCAGCTCAAAAGCTTGTTACCCGCAACAGCAGGGCAACAGCAGTTGGAATCAGAGGCAGGCACACAACGCAATCAATGCATGGAGGGGGAACGGGGCAAGAACAATCCGCGCAGGCTACCAACATGTACCTCAGGCCCCGCTCTTCGCCGGCAACAGGGCGAAGGGGCTTACAAACTTACGCTCTTTCCTCGATGATACTTGCGTGGACACCGTAATACTTGCAACAGCAGGGGATCATAAATGCATAATCTATCCTCGCCGTCGCCGTCACTAAGCAGCACGCGCCTTTTCTCTCGGGCGCAGACAAGAGGCAGACAGCGGACGGACGGACGGCAGAACCAACCGACCTACTTGGTAGTGCAAGGGGGTAACTTTTGGCGACGAAAAAAGACACCTTCAACACAGCAGCAATGGTGCCTGCAACTACAAACTCTAGCGACGACGATTACACGGCGCCGGTAAAAATGATGTGGTAAAACCCCCCGGGTCGATTCTCACTTTAGTTTCCTTCATTTGGTAAAAGTTAGCCTGTGACCACGGGAATCGACCGCACCAAGTGTTAGATAAATAGACTAGTACGGACAGATGAAGGCGTGATGGGTAGAGAGATCGGAACGGTTTTAATGTGAAGACAACAACAACGACAACGACAACAACAACAAATGAGCTGTGTCATACCGATGAAAGCGATGAGCCCCAAAGCGATAGCCGCCTTCGTTGCCGCAGACGTGAGCGCGGCCGCCAGCCCGCCACCTCCCCCGGCCAGGAGAGGGATCGCCACCAGCAGTGGCACTACCGCCAGGTCCTGAGGTCCAACACACAGAAACACAGGCGCGCACAAGTATAGGTACAGGTTTATGAAAAAATCAAACGAATCAAAAATCGAAGGCAACGTGCCACAGGAGGGGCGGGTAGGGGGAAACCCTTCTGTGTGACCACGGGTTGGAGTAAACGGCACGAGTGCTGTGGGCGCTGGTTTTTGAAGTGATCACAACGGTGTGGAGAAATCAGCCGCGAAACAAAAACGTTTCCGCCGACCGGGGCAAAGAAAATCGGGGCCTGGGAGTGAAAGGAAGGAGGCGTGTGGCTCATTGATCGCTTGGCGTAGTCGCCCCACCATTGACCATACATCCCTCGCGAAACGGAGCGCCGTCCCTACCACTCATGAGATAAATCGTTAACATGTGGGCACTCTTTGCCTCCTTTGTGTGACATAGTGTAGTGCGGTAGAAGGGGCTACTCAGAGACAAAACGAGCCCACCCGGAGCGTACCCCAACAGGCCGTAACATGGGAGATACGTAAACAACGTTTGAGTGAGCCAACGTAGAAAAAAACAAACACAGAAAACACAGAGAGGCATGAAGACGCAGGAAGAAGAGAAGTAGAAGAAAAAGCAGGGTGACAGAAGAGAGAGAAAAAGGGAGAGAGAGGGGTTGGTTTGGGGGGAGGTACCGAGGCGACCATTTATTATCACATGGCTCGGGGCTCGCGGTGCAAGCAAACAAGAAGCGTGACGGAACGGCCAGAGGGGAAAAGCACGACCAGTACTCAGGGAGGACGACTAAAATCAAAAAGTCACATCCAACAGCAGGTACGAGATGCGGGTCTAATAGCGGCGGACGACAAGGCTATCTATCATCAACATCGCACACGTCTAGCGTGACCCCCGGCTGCAATGTCGATACATCTGTACCAAAAGTTAACAAACTGAGGCCAGAAAAGGCGAGACGAACACAGCAGTCCCCCCCGCGTGCCGATAGCGCACAGCCGTGGCGCAAGCCCACGATGGCGGCAGCAAAAGCCCCCGATCACCGAGCTCGTTTCATACGCCGAGCACAAGATCATTCAATGCTTTTGATCCAACCTCCGCCTCCTCCCCTCGCCCCTGCCTGGTCCAACCTCCGCCCCTCCTCGTACCTGGAACAACAGAATGCCGAAGCAGGCGCGGCCGTAGCGAGTCCCTAGGTCGTCGCGATCCCTCAGCAGTTGAAGGACGAACGCGCTGCTGGACAGCGCGACCCCGCCCCCGATCACCACCATCTGCGCCCCCGTGAGTCCCGCGACGTAGCAGGCGCCCGCGACCGCGGCGGCGGACACGCCGAAGGTCGCCAGGCCCAGCCCGAAAACGTCGCGCTTCATGGCCATGAGGCGGGTGACGCTCAGCTCGAGGCCCATCTCGAACAGGAAGAAGACGATGCCCATCTCTCCGAGCACCTGTGCAATGTAGGGGTCATCGTTTCTTGTAAGGCGATCCTGCTGCTGTTGCTCTGCCTCTACAGCAGTAGTACTAATAGTACACACGTGCCACCATTTAACAACCGGCAAGCAAAACAATTCAGGGTAAGCAAAAACACATAAAAAATTGAAGGGCGAAACCATAAGCGCAGGTGCTCGGCTAAGAACGCCACCCTACACATATACATACAGCAGTTGATGTCGGGGTTACCTCCAAAGAACGCAAGGCTCGAGCGTCATGCAAATTGAGATCCGTTGCGACAACACGAACCGGAAAGAGCAAACACACCGCCTCTCCAGAAAGCGTTACCTATAAATTCCACACACACGGCAAGGCGGTGTAGCGTGGTGTCTGCGGGCAAGGCACAAGGAGCCCAGCACGACACCGCCATTGCGGTACGATAAATTTCCGCGTCCACGGGTGCGGTCGCACCTACCAAGAGAGAGAAACACACACACACACACACACACACAAGACGTGTGCAGTTTTCTTCTGTTGCTACCGTTTCTGTCTTTGATCCGGAGAATAGATTAGTCTCCCCCCATGCCGCCCCCTCACGGGGTCCCAGCTGAGGGCATCTAGAAGCGTCTCGTGTTTTCAACCGCACTGAGACTGACGTCTTTTCATTGGTCAGCCGGTTCGCGCGGTCGATGCTAACAATAAAAACGCACACGCATACAAGCACGCACCTCGATAGCCTTCACGTCGGACACGATGCTGAGGCAGTTCGGCCCCAGCGCCACGCCGGCGGCCAAGAAACCGAGGACCGGCGACAGGCCGACGCGCTTGCAGACCGGGATGATGAGCGCGTTGGCCATGAGGATCACCAACACGTCCCTTTTCGCGCCCTGCGGTGCGCCAAGAAGGGGTGCATGTATCTTGATTGAGCCAGTTTTTTCGCCCATGACAAGTTTGGTGCACATCACTAGCTAGAGTGTAGGCATCGCCGTGTGGGTGCGGTCTTTGCGTTTGGGTTGGGCCGGAGTAGAGTGGGGTCAAGCAGGATACCAGTCGTGAAGAACAGATAAAACAGTGAGACACATGGACGTGGCGATGCGACAACCAAAAGAAGCAAAAAATCAAGGAGAAAGAAATACGACACCAGCCAGCGACAAACACACTGCCACGACCGACAACTGCAGCAAACAGCAGCAGCAGCGAGAGGAGGGTGGTATCCCACGCACCTGGATGTGCCCCCAAAAATCTTCTGCGATCTCGCGGCCGTTTACCCCGGCCTTGGTCGCCATCGAGCGCAGCGCCTCCTTCGTGCCGTCTTTCTCCACAGCCTTACCCCTCTTCGTTCCCCCCACCCTCTTGGAGGGAGCCCTGACCGCCGCCGCCGACAGCCCCCCCTTCGACGACGATCGAGCGCCTTGCGCGTCTCCTCCTCTATCTCCCTCCTCCTTCCCCCACGGTCCGACAAACGCCGCTCTTGACGCCCCCGTCCGCCCCGCCCCGCCGCTTACCACCCCCTGGTGTTGTTGGTGCTGCTCCCGCACCCCCCTTGCCCCCCCCGTCGCCGGTGCTGGCGTTGCTTGTTCGGCAGCAGCGGCGTTTTCGGAGAAGGGGAGGACGAGCTCGACGGCCGGGTGCGCACTGCCGGCGCCGCCCGCGGCCAAGCCTCCCTCCGTACCCCCGGGCGAAAATCGCGGCGCGATCAGAGATGGGAAGGCGAGCGTGAACGCTAGCGCTACGGTAAGCGCGCGCTTGCTGGCGACACGCCTCGCTGCCCTCAGCCAGTACGACGCCAGGTAGGTCGCCCTCTGTTTTGCGAACGCCGGTCAAATGGTGCGGTGGGGGGTCAAGGCGGGGCTGACGAGCGCGTGAAGGGGGTGTGACTCGAACACGTATCTGGAGCACAACGCAACGTCAAGGAGGCGTCGAGCCAGCCCGCACACCACTGCACCCCGCCCCCCGTCTGCTGCGACACATCCTAGCGCGCCTTGGGTGTCAAAAGGATGAATATGGTCATTTTGATACTTGAAAAATACGTGCGATAGGGACGTGACCCAGACAACGGCCGACTGACGACAACCAATAGCAGAGAGATCGATCATCATGAGCCGTAGACCACCGCTACTGCTATCCCTCCAATAAAACAACAGAAACACACTGTTTTTTCACCTCGAGCCTTGTGTCCCCTGCAGCAGTCCCGCGGAAGAGCGCTCCCACTCTCGCCCGAAACGCCTTGCGTCTCCTCCCGCGGCCCTCTCCGACTGCCTGCGCGTCCACCGGTGCGGCAGAGCCCATGCGCATGTGCAACCTGCAGGAAAAAGGCGGGGGGAGAGGTCAACGCAAGCTTGATTGTAAGGCGGCAGCGCTTTTCAACGGCCGCAAGGGCAAGAGACACCGGTCTGTGGCGGTGGCACAACGAATATGCGCGTCACGCTGCGGGAGAGATTCAGGTTCTGGAAAAGCAATGGTCCGTCCCGCGCGCACAGCCTTAATTTAAAGGGTTGAAATGCCTCTGCGGAACCATGCTTAAGGGCGCGGCATTGCAAGCAGTAGCCTCCGCAGGGGGGTTTCGACGAATTAAACATGTTGGATAAAGAATATAATCGGGGAAGTTTGGTTAGAAGGGATAGGGATAGGGATAGGGATAGGTTCTGCGTACCCCCTCCCGGTTCTATTTCCTCATGAACTTATTAACCCTTTTGGGTCTCCAGGCGTTCTGATACGCATAGATCATTGATAGATCATTCGCATATGCTTGTGTGTGGGCATGCCATGGAGTTGCCGCCCGGTATCCCTTCACGGTAGGTGTTGGCAAGTCCATAGGTATGCATAGATAGGTGTGTCTTTATTATTATAAGCATCGACCGAGGTCACCGGTGACCAATGAAAAGACGTCAGTGCCAGCGGGAAAATCAAGGTCCCTGGTAGGGTATGCATACCAAAATGCGGAAATGCACATTGCGCTAAATTCGAATGCCACATTGCATCTCTCAAACTAAATATCCTTTCACAGAGACACACATCATATCGTAGCCTCACATACATGCCCTCACCCAAATCTATGAAGCCACTGAAATGCAAACAGCGGAGTGTAGCAAAAAATCAAGCCCAGCCAAGCCAGGATATCCTGGTGGCTGCATCTCCAAAGTTGATAATCGTACACTCCCAAGATCCAGCAGGCATCGTGTCAGTAGCTCCACTACACAGCAGCAGTATAGACGAGTCCAACTGCAGCAACACGTATGTACACTACCATCATAGCTCCACACATATCCCCGCCTGAACCTAGGGAGCCTTTCATGAGAAGGTAGGCGTGTGCTGTTGTGCTTGTGTGCTTGTGGGGAAAACACAAGAGTTCTAGTGACCCGGCAGGGCTCACAATAGGGGGGGGGGCAGATAAGTACAGAAGTGCAGATACCGGCTGTAGGTCTATAAGCCCTCTCAGAAATCATTTTATCATGATGAAAATAGAGTAGTGTTGGCGGCTTGACGACTGATCATTTGAAAGCCTACGAGGCTAATCTGCCCTACCCGCCGCACAGCGACTAACCATCAACCTTTCTATGACCCCGTCGGTCGCCACCACCCTGTCGCGGGCTGTCCTCATGGCCTATAGGTGGAGATAGCTGTTCCATGTACACAAGTACTGCAGTCTCTATTGCTGCACTTCTCTCTCTCTCTCCGCACTGCCTCCCGCTTCTTTTCATTTTTTGGCCGAAAAAAAAAAAAGGTGCAGACTAAGGGGTTAATCTCGCGGAGGCGGTTCCACTACAAGTTGATACACTTCCAGAGGAGGAAGCCGTCTACACACCCTCAAGAGCGCCAAGACCGTGGTTCAGAGCCGAGAATTTCAAGCCCGAGGTGGTTGCACGGGGCTCGTGCGCGTTTCGAAGCTAAGATTCGTACAACACACCCATGTGTGCATGAGTGCCCTGTACCCTGTTGGTGTCTTTCTGGTGAGGAGAGCAGAGCGGGTCACCCACGACCCAGGTCCTGCCGCTACGACTGCTGCTGTATGTTCCTCTATCGCCAAGGACTTCGGTAGCGACATACGCATCTTACTGCTGCCTGGAAGAGACAAGGCCAACCCGCGGGGCTGTACGCCTTAGGAGTTGTACAATTCGTTCCTCCCTCAAAAAAGCCTTCTAGGCACAACGAACGCCAAAGAGCAGTTGTAGTTTCCCAGATAAAATATTTCAAGGGGTCACCACAACACGGCGATCGATAGCTGCCCATGCGGATGATGGCGAGGTGCAGCGTGAGACGCGTACAGCGAACGACAAACGTATCGTAGCAGAGGGGTCTGAACGTCTGAACAACGAGATGCGCCGTAACCAGACAAACTTAAAACTTGTTCACGGTCTCGCCTTTGTGTCTGTGGTATGGATACCCCTACAAACTTCTGTAAGTACGTCGATCAATCCGCGAACCTGCAGTAGGCAATCATCACCCTTGTGGCCATCAAGCATGCGCCACCTCGTAACCCTTCCAGTGCTCTAGCCCCATAGGCAGGTTTGCGGATACCGCCGCCATACGCGAAAGGACAAGGGAGAGCAAACACTGCTGCTGCCTGCCAGCAAGACTTGCGCCCTCCACATTCACGTATTGTATACATGCGTGCATTGAATCCTGCAACACGCACACATCCCCACCCTTCCTCTTCTTTCCGATGCATGCAGCGTTCTACACCTAGGGTCACCATCTCCCAGTGAGGAGGGAAACAATGCATCGTTCCGTCGCGGGTACATGAAAGGCACAAGCAGGAGAAGGAGAGACATACACAAGAAGAGAAGTAGACCATTGTTGTACACTCTCCTCAAAACATTCGAGCGCAAAACACGAGGCATGAGATACATCACTTGGCCACTGCTCAGGTTGCCGCTACTGCTCCTGCCACACTCTCCCTGAGGCGAGTGATGGGGCGGTAGTAGACCCAGCAGCACGCCCGACGTCCTACCATTGGCTGCAACACACGCACCCACCCACATACCTTCGCCCAGTTCCAGTAGCCCTGCCGCTGCTGCTGCCGTGCTTGGCCGTTGTTGCCGCCCAACGATGACTCGTCACTCCCGGCTTGCCCACTGGATTGCTCTTCCCAAGCGCCGACAGCCGTGCAACTCGAGCCTTCGGGCTCACGAAAGCAACCGCCACCGGCGTTGCACAACAAAGCACCGCCCACACGAGCATGGCAAGGCCTGGGGCGGGGCGGCTGCGTCGCCGCCGTGCAAGCAGCTCGTCGCGACTTGGGGCCCGCTCGAAATTTGTTGTACTCATGTTTTCGATGCCGCCGCGCCTGGCTGCTGCGCTGCCGCTCGTCCCAAGCGGCAGAGGAAAACAGTCTCAAGTAGAATGCGACCTTGCCCGCTAATGTACGTTGTAACCCCCCCCCCCCCCGTGTATGCGTTTTCTTAGGAGAGTGCAACACTCTATCTCTCCCTCGCTCTCGGCGTGTGCTCGTGCAGCACGTGCTTTCGTCTTGCTTCACCTTACTTGGGGCGCACACGGAAGATATTTACTACAAGGGAATATACCTTTTTGCATCATCTGCGTCCCCCCAGCCCGTGGATGAATCTACTGCTTGGCTCGCCGACCAGAACCAGAGCACCAGAGCAGCAACTCAACGTTGAGGTTTGGTGCGTTCTGCCGTCCAGCCAGCAGGAGCAGCCAGCAGGCCGACAATGAGAGCATCCCATGTCTCGGCGCTCCTGGCTCTGCTGCTTTCTTTCTTTCAGCATACACGTGCATGGACGGCACCGCTGCCGCTCTCTGGCGGACTCATCGCCCCGGGTCAGCAGAGCTTCGTGAGTCACTTCCTTCCTTGTAGCTCCAACTTTACAGGCTGTGGGCGCTGCTGCGGCTGGTAGCTGGGTTATGGCTGATAGTGTTGTGTGAGGCTTGCGGGAATCTCGCCAACGGGGTTGTTTTCGTTTTCGGCCTTAGGCGGGGGTGAGGGAGGTGTCGGTTGCGGTTGCACTTGTACAACCACCATTGATAGAGCCGCCCGGCACACATGCAACATGCACCAACCGGTACCCTCCTCATCCGCCCACCTATCATTGCCACGACAGCTGTCCTCCGCCGCATGCAGTCGATAGCTGTGTCTGCTGAGGATTCTGGTAAGCGGGTGTGCCGGTTTTTGTCGGCGGACACTGACTGCTGTTGCGGATACGCATAATTTTGACCAACGGATGGATGCATATACATAAGAGCAACGGAAAATAAATGCGGTGTTGCAAATAGGTACGCTCGGGGGGTACATACAGAGTTAATAGTGTTACGTCCTTCCCGGCCCCTCTCTCACTGTCACTCGCTCGCACAAAGAAACCTCCGACGGCAGTTTGTGGATTCGCGCGCGCAAGCTGCTACCGACATAGCATCATTGTCCTATAATTCGTGCGTTGGAAAACATTCACGGTTGGGTTTCTGATTCATCAGTTGGTGTCGTGCGCACCAAAACATTGTCAGGCCTACCGTACCGTCGTCTCGCACTTCGGTACTGACCATCAATGGTTCTCGGCTCTGTTGCCCTCGTCGTGTGGTGTAGACGGGGTGCCAGAATATAAACACGCATACACACAAACATGTTTCAACCGCGCGTTTTCGGGGGCCATATATATTTATATATATATATATGTATTTTTTTTTTGTCAGGTTGCAACGCCGGTGACTCCGTCTGTAACAGCAACAACCACCAGGAGTAGCCACGACTGGAGAGACAGGAGGCGCCAAGTCCCCACCTGCAAGCTGGACCGGCTGCCGGTGCGAACCCTCAAGCGCGTCGTGCCGTTGCGGCCGACGCCGGAGAAGTACCTCGCGCACTTCGGGCAGACGCCGCTCGACCGGAGGCGCAAGATGGTCAACGTCCTCGGCGGCCTGTTCGCCTTCTACTGGGCGGCGTTCTTCGCGACTCGAAACGTCTACGTTCTCGGCCCGGGCGGCATCAACGCTATCGCCTGGCGAGGTGTGTGAGACGGGCCGGCTTCATACCTCGTGGGCACCTTGCGCGCACGTAGTTGGTGCCCATCGCGTGGGACTCTCGGGAAGAAAGCATTTCTGTGATTTCTCACGAGTACGGGTCTCTTTGTCTCTCCATACGCGTATTAGTTGATGTCCATCGTGGGGCTCTCGGGAAGCAGGCATTTCTGTGATTTATCACGAGCTTTGTACGGGTCTCTTCTCTCCCCATACACAAGGCTCGCGCGTGTGTCGGCAGCAGCAGCCGCCGCCACTTGCGGCGCTTGATGCGCAGTTCGTTCTCTCATGAGGTCGTGAGGCCGTTTTTATGCCGCCTCACTGAATCTGGTCGAGGCGTAAAGTGCAACGTTGCGTGGACGCCATGTTGGGAGGTTCACAGCGTTTGCCGGCGTCCCGCAATGGTGCTTCCTTCAGCCGACAGAGGGTTCACCCAAGTAGCCATCGTCGCTGCTGCTGCTGCTGCTGCTGCTGCTGCTGCTTCAACAGGTTCCTGCCTCGCGGTGTTCCTGCAGACCTTCTTGAGACCTGTGGTGGGGTCCTACAACCGCGCCCTTGAGCTGTGGGGAGCCGGGAGCAGGGAAGCGAGGAGAAAGACGAAGGGAGCCCTGTTCACCGGAAGGTGCGTCTTGGTCTTGGAAGGTACAGCAGTATCAAGTATCAGTATCTACTACGGCGGATGGGTACAATTCACGACCATGACCCTGTGTGTCCCCAACGCTACAATGTAGAGCCATGGAGTACAGCTGATCCCCCGGATGAACGGAGGGGTAGGTGCACAGCTGGCTACGGTTTCAACAACAAGCCGTGGAGACAGACCGCCAGAAGTTGAAGCTTTTTAGTACAGCCTTGTTTCGCTTCGTTATGGACAGACAATTGGTCTCCCCATGAGCTGAGAAAATACATCGGGCGTGTCTATCTTGGCTTGTCTACCGTTTATTCCAAGAATTATGTCGGAATGGTGCCGTTGCTGGTGGCTGATGACAGACTCTCAGCGCATGTTTTTCCACGACTGGCATAAAATCATGTATCGTGTATTTCCCCTGCTGATATTCAGATTCCAGGGAGTGTTCGTCGACATAGCCCAGCGGTGGCACAGGCAATATAACGGTTTTGCTGGGTCCTTGGATATCCTGGTCTTCGTTTCACCACCTACCCACCTCACAGTCATCATCACCATCACCACCGCCACCGCCGCCGCCGCCGCTGCCGAGCGCCCCTACCTCGCCTGACGCTGTATGTGGCACCGTGTTTGCTACCCGTTTCTTCCTATCGTTTCGTTGGAAAGAGCCCTTTTGTGAAAACGAAACAACACAACCGCCTTCCGTGGAACGAAACCCGCCCCGCACAGGGTGACCAAGACGGGGTTTGCGCTGTCGTCCCAGGCGTCGAACCACAGGGCCCACTTCCAAATGCTGGTGGAGGACGAGAGCGGGAGAGAGCTTTTGTTCGACGTCCCGCAGGTAAGGAAGTAGGTGGTAAAATCATGACCCCGTGATAGCGTTTCGTAAACGGTCTGGGATGTACGGACGAAATCTTTTTTGGTGGTGGGGGAGCGGAGGCCAACCCTGCAATGGAGTTACATGAACGGTGTGATGTAAGACAAGAAACATTTTTTTGGTGGTGGGGAGCGGAGGCTGAGCGTCTCCGCCGATGGGTCGTCATCGACGCTGCGCTATGTACCGAAGCAAAAACACCCGCATGCTACCGGTATCCGCGTGCACGTTCCATAACCAACAGCAGGCACCTCATCGTCAGCGTCGTTGTGCTCACGTATGCACGCGTTCGTGTGCGATTAACAGGTTCCGGAGTACCGCCGAATCCGAAAGGGCATGCACTGCGCGGTGGTGGTCCTAAGCCGGTCGTCCGGCTTCTACGAGCTCACGGGTGTGACGGAAGCCTACCTTCCAGAGCTGGATCTGTTCGTCGGACGGTTCCCGCTCCTCGACAAGCGGTGAGACTTAGACTTTCCCTCGTCTCAACCCAATGTTTGTCGCGCGTGTTGCGCATCGCTCGGCTCTTCTTCTCAACAGCTGTACCTTATCTTCGCCTCTTTCGATGGGTGATGTCACCGTCGATTTTTTTTTTACGATTTTCAAATTGCGTCAAGAATGTGTGCGAGTACGGGACGCTTTTGTGCCAAATTGCGCCCCCGCGGTATGTACGCAACACACCCTTATCCTTCCTCCCCCCACCCCCTCATCCATTTGCCTCCCGCAATGCATGCGTTCGCTGCTGAACCACTTCTCACGACGCCAACCGTAGCGTCTTCTGGGATTTGCTGCACGAGAAGAACGCCCGAAAAAGGCGGGGGGGCGGGGGTACGGTGACTGCTAGCCGAAAGCAGAACAGGTTGAGCAGCAGCAGCAGCAGCAGCAGCGGGGGACGGAGCTTGGGTAGCAGAAGAAGCGGCGGCGACGGCGGCTATGCAAGCGATATCGAAAACAGCAGCTACCGCACCGGGCAGCAGCAGCAACAGCGGCACCCAACGCGAGACGTGACGTCAAACAGCGGCAGCAGCAGCAGCAGCAGCAACGGTCGCGACGACGGGGGCAGGATGGTGGCCAGGAGCCCTAGGCCGAGGCACTATCAATGACCTTCTCGCGATGACCTATATACGTCCACCGGAAGTATAGCAACGCAACAATCGGGCAGTACCTCCATCAGCCAGGAATGCCGTACCGCAGAGGAGGATTATTCGCGAAAGGAGACCGTCATGAGACGACCGAAGTACAAGTACTCCCTGCTGTCCCGGACGTTTGTGGCAGCGATATCGCATGACAACACCGGGGGAGCAGGAGGGAATTCACCGCTCAGGGCGGCGCGCGCTTGTTGAGCTCCGCAGCACAAGGACCGCGAGGAGAGTGAACCCTTGGTTTTCATTCGCGAAGGAAATTTGTTTGTCTGGCCGCCGCCGCCGCCGCCGCCACACGTCCGCCTCTAAGAGGAGGAGGATCAGCGGCCGGGATTCGAGTTCGAAGCAAACAACGGAAAGCGCCGCTACGTGAGAGAACCTGGAAGTACCAAAAGGTCTCCGGGCTTAACAAGACGAAAGTTACTCGAACCCCACCACCGCCCCACATCAAGAGCTGCGCAGTCGCTTCCGCATCAACCCCGCAGAGAAAGCAAGAACAAGCCTTGTTGAGCAAAGTTCGAGTGAATCGCACGTGTTGGCGCCATGTGAAGTGGCGGCGAACCTTTTTTCGTTTTTCACGTTCGACACACGAAGGCCAGAGATGTGGCTCGACTCAAAGGGGCAGTGTTCGAAGTCAGAACCGACAGCTGAGATGAAGGTCGGCTTATGTTTGCAGCAGCGCGGTTTGCGGTTCGCGGCTGCTGGTTTAAGGCGTGGTGCGAGTTGCTTGTTGTGCTTGTGACTATACGTTTTGTTCCGTGCTGAGTGTTTCCCGTCGTTTGGCTCCTCTGTCTTGTGTATTGTTTTCTTCTTGCGGGCTTTCGTCTGCCCTCCACCCTGTTGTTTTTTGTTTTTGTATCGTTTGTCTTTTCTAGGAAGAAGTTTTGCTGCTTCAAGAGTGGTTGGATTCGCTCTCTTGTATACGAATGTACCATATTTGAGGACACTGGCTATTGTCGGAGACAGATGCCGGTGCCGTGGCAGTATTATCCCACTGCCAGGGGAAGGCTATTTCCTCTCGTGATGTGTAAACGAGGAGAAGAGGGTAGAAAGAGAGAGTGGCCATAGCGGCAGAGGGAGAGGAGAGTCGAAGACTCTCCGCTTCCACTTTCGGCAAGTGGCCAGGGACTTCGGAAGATATCCATCTCCGACGGTGCATTTCCTGTCACTCTCCTTGTGACAAGATACCCCGAGGGAGCCATATCTTCCTACACTTTGTATGTGCACACATGGTTGGTTATACTCGTGACAGGTGTCCTCCACATATTTCTCTTACTAAGCACATCAAAGTAATGGCACTTTTTGGGGTTAGGTTGTGACAACCGGATTCGCTCGTCTCTTGATAGAGGGGGAATTCAGTAGAGGCAAGAAAGGTCTTCCGATGTGGGCATGGCCCAAAGGGCTTGGGACAACTTCCAGAATCGTGCCTTGAGGTTTCGGCGTGAGAGCAAAGATTGTGTGGTTTGCACGCTGCTGTGTGTGCTGCAGCAGATGCCAGCGAGTTGGAATTGCATGTTGTGTGTTTTGGCCTTTTTTTTTGCGTGCCCACCAAATCGTCCATGAATGTATTTGGCGACCGGCACCATAATGAAGTAACAACCACCGGGGCTGTGCCGGAGAACACCAGATAAAGCTGTAAAATCACGACCAAGCCGGCCATGGTATCAAGCGTACTGCAAGGCATAAACTTGGCGCTCAGAACAGATGGAACGAGAAAAACGAAATAGGCACAGCATACCCCGCCCGTCAGAAAAATCCGAAAGGAATGGGAAACGGACTGAGTTGCAACCCACGAGGGAGCATGCGAAACGTTATCGTTTGGATCGATCATGGCGAGGGCTATAGACTCGCACCGTGAGTTGGCACGACGAGTTTTGAAGCATGTGTCAAGATTTGAACGAAAAAGCTAAAGGGAAGTATCTACTCAGTCATAGGTGATCAAGGCCATCACCATGAGAGACGAACCCCCTCCTACATGTGTGAGTGAGCGTGAGGAAGACGACGTGTTTTTGTCGCAACGTTAACGTTTGGTCTCGTGTCGACTCTGTACCGGCATCAAACGACCTTGGACAACCTGACCAATTCTTCCCTTGCGATGGAAGTACAAACCGCAACGAGGACCGGGCATTCGGTGTGTATTTGGCTCGTGTTTTCCGGCGAGCACGCATACAAAAACGACGTACGTCCCCTTCCTTTCGAGAGGGGCAAACTAAACTGGCGCTTTCGTTCGTGGTGGCAACGTCCAAGTCGACCTCATGATACCATGTCGGTATGACACCAGGTGCGAAGCCCACGCCCACAAGACATACGATGCTGGCGAACTCCTTCCACTTCTTCCGAGATAGAAAATGCGCCACAGAGAGAACTGCGCCGGGCGAGACGGAAGTCAGACGCTTGCGATGGAGACTCATGACGCTGGTAGGCTAGCCAAGGACGCCTACACAACAGCACCCCTTTTTTAAACACACTGTTTCTCTGTTCATGGCTACACCAGCAACACGAATCTGTCTAAGGACGATTGCTGGCAGGCGCGGGGAGAGAGACAGAGGGGGGGGGTGGGCGAGGGGGGGAGGGGGGGCTCTCGCAGACGTTCCATAAAAAGGGCTGTCATGCCATCCAATCGTAGATCCTATCGTAGAATCAGCGACGCGCCACCACCCCGAAAGCCTTCTTGTCGGTCTTGCAGTCGTGGAAGCCGGCGCCGATCAGCCGATCGATCACCCCTCGGAACAATCGTCCGCCCTCGCTGCGCGTAGCACGACGCACAGAAAGTAGAGGAGAGAGGGGGAAGGGCGGGCGGGCGGGAGGGATAATTAGCTCATCACGAACGTCTTGGCCTCGACTGCCGTCGTTCCCTAAACAAAAAAGTGGTTGTCGCCGATCCGTGCTCGTGGGGAGCGGGGGCTACATACGACGTTCGGTGCTGACTTTTCGCGCGGGAGCACCGCGGCGGAGTCTTCTCCCCATGTGGCAAAGCACGATGATGGCATATAACATATGAGGTTCCGACTTGAGTTTTAACGTATGCCACCCGGGTATTTTTCTTTTGTTTTCTTCCATTGAGTATGGATGGAAAAAAAAACGGTCTAGCCAGCGGCAGGGGGGTGTACTCATTGTTGCGCATGCCATAGTCGTAAGACCATTGACCTCGCATCCCTACAAAGCCGTGACGGAGCACGCCGGGTTTTCACCGGACCAGGCGCTCGCATCGCCAAGCGCGAAGCACCGTGAGGTATTCGGCGAGTCGCATGAAGGGTGCGCTGCATCCTGCTAAGGGTGCTCGGAATCTTGTGCTTACTTCCTTGCGTACGAATGACAGCTGCGTATGACTTAATTTATTTTCTGGTGCTTTCACTTCCAGAGACAGTTGTAAGCACCGTGTAGCTGCCTCGAGGGTGCTTGACCAATTTAACACAACGTGGTGCCACCATCCCCCTTGCGCGGAGTGAGGGTTCTCGACCCCGCACAACACGATCTACTCGACCCCCGTTATGGTTACCGCAAAAAAAAAAAAAAAGGCGAAAAAAAAAGCGGTAACTTGGTTGCCGAGCTTACAAAGCAATCGGCTTGTTTTACAACGTCGTTGCCAAGCGACGAAAACCCAAACCCCGATGGCAAACACCGAGGGAGGGGACGGCAGGGGGAGGGGGAGACAAAAACACATCACCATGCCGCAGAACTACTCACTTGCTCTCCGGGTTCCCGATGTAGTGGAACAAGGTGCCACCCGGCTTGAGCACCCTCGCGAGGTCCTTGTAGAAAGCGGCTCCATACATGTCCGTGGTCTTGCAGAGGGCGCGGGCCGGCGGGTCGTGGATGATGGCCGCGAACTCGCCGTCATCGAAATCTTTGACGAGCTTTTTTTTTTTTCGCGCCGGCAAGAAAGGCGCAAACGTTGTTGTCGATAGCCGTGCCACGGCCCCCAGCAGGGAATGGCGCCGGGATAGGGGGGGGGGGGGGGGGGGGGGGGG